ATTTAAAGGAAAAAAAAATTCTTTAATCCATTTTGAGTTGATTTTGGAATATGGACAGAGGTACAGATCTAGTTTCATTCTTCTACATATGAATGTCCAGTTTTCCCAGCACCATTTGCTGAAGAGGCAGTCTCTTCCCCAGTGTATAGGCTTGGTGCCTTTGTCAAAGATCAGATGGCTGTAGGTGTGTGGGTTGATTTCTGGATTCTCTATTCTATTCCATATCAGTGTGTCTGTTTTTATGCCAGTACCATACTGTTTTGGTTATTATAGCTTTGTAGTATAGTTTAAAGTCAGGTAGTGTTATGCCTCCAGCTTTATTTTTTTTTTTTGCTCAGCATTGCTTTGGCATGCATGGTCTTTTGACCATTAGGAAATTGCTTTTGATTGCAGCAGCTTTAGCAGGACGTTGGAACACATTTGAATTCCAAAGTAAGAGGAATGAATTGCAGTCGAAGAAATGCAGATTACAAGATAGTTGGTGGTATGGGGAAACAGAGAGTGAGAGAGTGGTAGTAGGAAGGGGGAAGTAGAACCCTTCAAAGGAATATGTCAGTTTGGTAAATTTAAGAATACATAGTTTTATCCAGTGCAGAGGAGTTCATTAAGGATAGTAGGGAGGAGAGGACAATAACTAGTAAAGTTAAATTTGACAGTTACCGTGTCAGGACACATCTCAACTTGCTGAAAAGAGTTATTGAGCCTGCTGTTGCGCCATACTAGTAGGCTGTAGCTACGAATAACCTAGGTTCATACTTAACTGTACTTTTATAATGTTGCTGTTTTTCTATTCTTGACAGATTAAGGAATGATATTAGTGTTTCATATTTCTCATCTTTGTGATGTAATTATACCTGGGGATTACATTTATTTCAACAGGTGTTTCTTATGGACAAAGCAGTAGTGACATTGAAGCCCTACATGAGGCTTATTGTCATATAGCCCATTCTTTGGGAGATGCAGATGAACAAAGAATTGAAAGTAACACAATGGAAAATATCAAGAGCCCAGTGAAAGATCATCTTCAGGAAAATGAAGAGTCTTCAAAAAACACCTCTACTACTGAATCTGGTAAAGGTAGATAGATAGATAGGTAGATAGGTAGGTAAGTATGTAGATGGAATTCTTCAGTCATTTGAGATCCCCTCTAAATAGTTTCCAGTATAGTATAGTTTAAATACAATTTGCTGGGCCGGCCCGGTGGCGCACTGGATAGTGCGCCGCTTGGGAAGCGCGGCGGCGCTCCCGCCCGAGGGTTCGGATCCCACATACAGACCGGTTCCCGCTCACTGGCTGAGCGAG